ACCTGAAATTGTCGTATGTACTTAAAACTACCCGAATAAAACAAAAACATCAAAAAACCTGTAATTCAAATATAAAACCTGTAGGTAGAGCGGGCCTCAGCCCAACCTAATGTTTAGCTGATTCTCAGTGCAAGCCTCCTGTGCTGCCCTGCCACCCAGAATCTTCAGAGAGCAGTAAGTGTCCCAGGACTAACCTGCACCCATCGCTGGAACCATCTGCACTGTGCTGAAGCAGGCGGGTGAGTAATGCTCTCTAGTACAGCTGGGTTTATGCCAGCATAAAAGAATGAGCTTTTTCCCAAGTGCTTTATTTCCATGTAACATGCTTCCATAGTAGAAGGCAAGAGAGCTACGGCTGTATCTATCTGTATCCACACTTAAAATTGGACTAATAAATGTAATTCATGTAATAAATGTAAAAATCTACTCCTACTGACATCATGACACTGGTACAGGAGATGAGGCCTTAACGCAGACTTCTCCACCTTTTGCACATTGGCTACATATTTTCTGTGGTTTTAAATTCCTTCACTGAGGATGCGCTTCCCGGGACTATGGGGTCCAATGCAAGGTCTGCACCCAAAGTATTAGAAGCCAAATGACCAAATTTGGCAGCCAGGCCCTCATCATTTTCTGCATAGAATCACAGCACCCTTAAGGTTGGAAGGGATCTCTAGAGGCCATCCAGTCCCACGCCCTGCACACGCAGGGTCACCTAGAGCATGTGACGTGATCCTGTGCCATCCTGAACATCTTGTATGTTCTCCGGGCTCACAAGAGCCATCCTTCTGAGCTGCATGTGAAGACAGACATGAAGAACTGCCTACACATATTTGCTTTTTTAAAAAAACAAAACAGTTTTCTGTAGTATTTTCATGACTAGTTTCATGACGGGAATGTAAGAGCTTGTGGTGCCAACAGGCACGGAGAGTCACGTGGGCCTCGCTGAAGGGCATTTCCCTGGGCCACACGGATCTGTTACAGCTGCCTAACCAACATTATTACCTCCTTTTTGAAGTTTCTGGGTCCTTTCCTGAATTCTCTCCAGGATTCCAGAAACACTGATGAGTCTCAGCCAGTCCTCCATGATCTTTCTTTATGAGATGGAAACAGTGCAGCGTAACCACGTGGGTTATATGGGGATATGGGAGCAGTCACGGGGGTGACCGCAGGGCTTTCAGCGTTGTCTCCTGCTGCTGGAAGGTGGCGGTGCCAGCAGAAGGGCAGGCCCTGGCTCTGCTCTCCCCAGGCCTGACTCGCCTCCTGCTCCATCCCCTTCCCTGCTTCCGCGCCGCGAGCAGGCAGCAGGCCGGGCTGGAGAGCTGCTTCGCGTGAAGACTGAAACGCTCTTGTCTGTTCCGAGGCCCTTTTCCACCCAGACGCCCATCCCTGCTTGCTGCAAGGCTGCGAGGGCCCTGGCGCTGCTCCGAGGGACCCTCATGGAGCAGGAGCCGGCGGCAGGGCCCGGGCAGCCCTGCGGAGCAGGATGGCTGCTGTGCCCGGAGCTGCCGCGCAAAGGCCCTTCAGAGGAGTCACCCTGGGTCCCACCGACCGCTAGAGGGGCCTCCCTCTGGCCACCGACTGCCAAGGAAGGCTGGAGTTTCCCCGTGCAGTCAGCCCTGCCATCAGCCGCAAACACGGCAGTGAGAAAGGGGCTTCCATTTGTCAGGACTTCCACAGGTTTATCCTTGCCAAGCTTCAAAGCCTGGAGCTGCGTCCAGACAACAGCTGCTACTCTGCGGCGTGCTCTGCCACAGGTTAGGCACGCACTCTAGGTGAGTGTTTTGCTGCCATGAGCTGAAGCAGCTCTGCCCCTCTCCCCGCATCCGCTGGGGAACACCCATGGGAAGGCGGCACACCCAGGCTTTCCATGGATCTCGTCATGATGAACCAGCTGCAGGCACAGCAGAGGTCCAGAGGGCAGCGCTGGCCACCAGCAGCTTCTCCTTTGTCCCTTGCTGCCTGCGCACAGCCACGATTTGCCCCTCTCCTCGATGCTGCTCAGCACCGGGGCCGCTCTCTGCATCTCCCAGAGCCCGGAGGAAGCTCCGCGATGGCACCACACTGCACAGGCCACTGCCGCTGTGCCGTGTGTCACACCTACAGCCCCATTCCAGCGGCACTGTGTTAATGTGCAACCTGGCGTGGCATGGGATCCACTGGAAATATGCACTAGTCCCAGTGGGGTAGCCTTTCCTCCTGCCCACGTGCTGCAGAGAAGCATCTCTCCTGTGAGAATCAAATCCCCTTAAAATGAAATGCGAAAAGCCCAACTCCAGGCAATGAAAATCGCCCTCCTCTTTCCATTCATGACAAAAGATTCTATCATGACTTCTGCCAGGTGCTAAGGAAAAGGAGATGAACAGTTGTTATTCCAAAACAAACTTCCATGGAATTTCATTAATGCGCACCACATTGCGAGCACCCAGCCTCATCTGAGTGCCTGTATTTGTTGGAAGGGTTGGAGTAAGAGGTGTGAGAAGTTCCAGCCAAACAAGGGAAACCTGCTTTGACCTGTAGACGGAGCTCAGATGAAGGTGAACATAGTTCTCATTTGCTGGAGGGCTCAAGATCCTAATCACCCCTCACTCCCTCAGTTAGCATGAAGCAGCTCCTGCGTTGCAGCTCGCAGCATCAGGACATAGAAGAATCACAGAGATACTCAGCCTTGCTCCTGGTCAGGAGTTGGGTAAACATTAGCCCGGGGCTCCGTGTGCTCACAGGTTTGGCATTGCTGGGATGGGCTCTGCAATGTAAACAGAGGGTTGTAATGCAGTTAGCAACGTTATGCTGCAAAGTGCAGTATGGTGCACGCCAGGTTAAAAAAAAATAGCATTTTTTTTCTCAGCACTGAAATTGTTCACGGGTCAAAATGGGCAGCGTAAAAGAGATTTATCAGGTTTCTCCTTCCTAAGATTAATTCTCACCTCTGATACACGTCATTCAATTTTGCCTATGCTGGAGCAAAGTGAATTCCTCCTTTGTAGCTCCCATGCTTTGCTTCCCAGGAGCCAAAAGTGTTCAACACCACTGCAAATCTGCTCTCCCATCTCTGGAGCAAGTCCATAAATCTTTCTGCCTCCGCATGTTTCAGACTGGTCTAGAACTATGGCAGGCAGTTAGAGAAGGAGACACTGAGAAAAAAATCACTTAGGAAGATGATGTTGTATTCAATGTCATATTCAATGTTCAATAATCTCATATTTTAATACATTCAAGTTCCATTATGATATAAATATGAATGTTGAGTTTAATATACTAATGCTGAACTTTAATGTTTGACATACATCAGATGAAATGATAGCTGAAATGAAGCACTGGTGTTAACAAAATGAACACTTTAAAACAAGAAAGTCGAAGCAAGTTATTTCAGGATTCTAACTTAATTCTGATAATGTTTGGTAAAATCCTCCATTTAGACCATCTTTTTGGACCAAGTTACTTTTTTTTTTTTAAGTTACTATACTTTCATCAATTTTTCAAATGTCAATAAAACATTTTTTACGGTAACTATGTTATCAAAATGCATTTACTAATTTTGCTTACAATAATTATTGAACTGTGCAAAACAAGCACACATATGAATCAAATAAGAGTGCTGTGAAGAAGTAAGGTTATGCCATATTAGTGGCAAGCAATTTAAGATGCTCAGATGAAGAACATTTACGCCTGCGAGGCGCCCTAACCACAGAAATAAGGTTATTTTGTGCTTTCCAGAATCCCAGGAGAAAGCTCTTTGCAGGTGGCTCCTCTCCGTGCCTGTGTTCTGGCAGAGCCTGGCTTAGGGGCACTTCACTGCTCCTGTAAATCACAAATGGGATCTAAATCATCTTCTGTCTGTTCCTGAGGTCAGTGGCCCCTTTTGCCTTCCTTAAGGCGTTCCCGACTTTAGCCCTTCTCTCTTGGGATGGGTGCAGGGATTCCCGCTTCCCTTGGGATTCCTGCTCCGGGCGGAATTCCCAAGCAGGATGAGTCAGGCTGGGCCGCTCGGGGCTCCCAGCAGCTTCGCCTTGGCACCGTCACGGGAATCTGGGCCTGCCACCCGTGTCCCCCCAGCACCACAAACTGCTCCCAGCACCATTTTGGTTTTTATTTTTCTTTTCCCCAAGCTGGGTGATGTTCATTCAAACATATGAGAAAAAATAAAATGGGGAAATTACACTTGAGCCACAAGACACCACAGTGCTGCTTATTTTTATATTTATTTTCATCTGAAATGTAACCTAGAATAGTTGCCCCCTTATTTAGGCGCACAGACCCCAAAAAAGAGAACAACAACTATCACTGGCAGGTCGCAGCCTCCCCTCTACTGGAATGAAAAAAAATAAATAAAAAAGCTTTTGCTGAAGGCTCCCTCTGAGCCCTTTCAGGAGAACTCTCGCCGAACCGAAACCTCTCCTCGGTGAAAGCGAAGCGTTTCCCGCGCCCCAAGGCGCCCTGCGGGCGGCGCTGCGCGGGGCAGCGGCACCGCGAGGCGCGAGCCCGGCACGGGGCGCAGCGCGGGGGCCCGGAGCCATTTTGGGGGCGCGGGGCCGCTCCCTCCCGCGCGCAGGGGCGGCGCCCCCTGGCGGCGGCGCGGGGCGGCGCGGGGCCAACCCCCCGCTGCAGCGCGGGGCCGTGCTCGGGCTCGCCCGCCCTCCCGCCCGCCCCTCTGGCGTCGGCCGGGAGCGGCGGGAGGCGGGGACGGGCCGCAGGAGGAGGAGGAGGAAGTGGAGGCGGCCGCGAGTAGCGGGCAAATGGGGAGCTGAGCGGCGGCGGCGGCAGCACCGCGGCCGCGCACCAGCGGCGTTAGCGGCGTTGGGCACGCAGCGAGCCGGCCGCGGGTCCGTCCGCGCGGGCGGTTGCGCCGGGCTGGGCCGCGTTGCGGGCTGCGGCTCCGCGGGCCCCGCGGCGCTGCCGCCTCTCATTCTCCTTCCCTTCCCTTCCCTTCTGCCTCCCCCGCAGGCGCCGGAGCCGCAGCGCGAGCAGCCGCCGGGCAGGTGCCCGCGGCGCCGGCCGCCCCGCGCCGCGCCATGCAGACCTTCCTCAAGGGGAAGCGCGTGGGCTACTGGCTGAGCGAGAAGAAGATCAGGAAGCTGAATTTCCAGGCCTTCGCCGAGCTCTGCCGGTGAGCGGGGCCGCGGGGCCGGGGCCTGCGCCGCG